CCACTCCTCTTTCTAGTTTTTACAATAGAGAGTTTTGACTGTTGACTGCAAAAAGCAATTTGTGTAGTGGTTAAAGATGCAAGCTTGGGAGTCAGATCCCCCGAGTTTAAACTGTGTATGGTTTTAGTCAAAGTAGCTAAGTTTTCTAATTCTTTGTTTTCTTATCTGTAAAATGATTGTATGTTAGCTCATCTGTCCAAATGCAAGTGCACTTATACTTCTCTTGCAGGTTTTGTAAGGATAAGTGCTATGAAGATGGAAAAATCCTAGGAAAATAAAAGTTGGATAAAGCAATTTATATTTTGTTATTTATTATGATCACATTTTTATGCATGTTGGGAAACATAAACAAGCTTGTCTTCAACCACCTTTCGACTACAGAATGTTTATTGAGTGAAGGAAGGAGAAGCAACAGTAACTTGGATTATAATGAGAAAATGTTCGCTATCAAGAACCAAGCTGAAAATAAAGGCAGAAGTTCTTCTGCATCTTGTAGACTAAACACTAACATTTTACAATGTTTTTGTCACCTGGCATGGTCTATGTGCTAAGGCTGGGACAAGCAATCAGTACAGGATTCACTATTCTTTCTTAAGCATCTCAATCAGCCATGGGCTGTATGTACAGCATGGAACTTTAAGCTCATTATTTTAAATCCTTGTTGACTATGTAGGCACACAAAATGTATTAGTCCCATTTGCTCTCCGGAAAACGAAAGCATGGTGTGGTATTCAGATAGTAAGTTTTGGAACTGCACAACTGAATCCCCAATTGCCCTTTCAAAGATGCTGCTCTTTCCCCACTATCGGAGGTAGTTTATGAATGTAGAACTAATGGCCGAAGGAGCAGATTCTCTGGCAAGTTCACTAATACAGAGTTGCCACTATCAATGCAAACAATTTGTGTATTTAAAGTGACTGTTGACAGTGTCTCATTTACACAAATGAGAACATATTCAAGAGTTGGGTTGGAGTTTTTACTCACATACATAGTATTATATAATTATAAAAATTATAAAAATAAAATAGGACATTATATACCTTGAGATACACACATAGATATCCTTTATACCACCACTATGAAGAGCTCCTGTTTGGTAAGTTAGCGATTCCAAGGGATACATTTGGGTACCAGAGACTCTGTTACACCATCTAACTGTGGAGTAGTGAGTCTATGAAAACACAAAGATCAGTCTTTAAAAATGGCTTTTACAAGGCAAGCCTCACCCTATCTAATATGGTTCTTGAGAGAAAAATGTTTCCTGCTATTGAGACCAGCGAGAGGTCAGTGAAACTCATCCACGGCAGTGGATTCTGGTGGTGACCTCTGAATGTGTGTGTGGAAGAATGCTGACGGCTCTCTCCGTGATGCACTGGCTTGTCTGGATACCATTGAAAGCTCCACTTGACAGCACAATGATGAACTGCACGTCTCCAGGCAAGCAACACATGTTTGGATGACAGACAGCTCTGTTAAGGTTAGGATTTATTTATTTTCCAAGAATGAATTTTTTTAGCCCAGCGCTGTGGCCTAGCAGCTAAAGTTCTCACCTTGAACGTGCTGGAATCCCATATGGGTGCCGGTTCTAATCCCAGCAACTCCACTTTCCATTCAGCTCCTTGCTTGTGGTCTGGGAAAACAGTGGAGGATGGTCCAAAGCCTTGAGACCCTGCAGCCATGTGGAAGACCTGAAAGAAGTTCCTGGCTGCTGGCTTTGGATTGGCACATAACTGACTGTTGCGCTCACTTGGGGAGTGAATCATCAGATAGAAGATCTTCCTCTCTATCTTACTTTGCAATAAGAATTTAAAAAAAAAAAGAATGAATTTTTCATCTTGCTCTGCAACTCTATAAAACCAGTCAAAGTTCAGACAACTCATTGCTGGTAAAGAGAACCTCCATAGAGGAGTGGGGTTGGGGGTTTAAAGTATAAGATGTATCTGTTTTATAAATATGAAACTCCTCTGATCCTCCACAGGATGAGTTTTCTGTTCCAATTTTTGTACATTTGACCCCATAATTTAATGCCTCAAAAATACAGTATATTATTTATCTAATTTTACTTTTAACACAAATTTCAGTGAATGAAGTGAGAACAAATAGCTCTGGTCTTCATTTAAATAGTCATTAGAGATTGTCTTTTCCTTGGTATATTAACAACTCTTTCTGATCTGTTATTTTAACTATTTTATGCAATATAAAGCAAATATATTTGGCAATTAAATACTTCCAAAATCAGATGAATATTCTCTTTCTTGTTGCATTCTTTGTTTCCATATGTGTGAGAGCCTTGGAACTACTGAGTTCATTTAGTATTTTCTAATAAATTAGAATATACCCTCTTCACAAAAGCTAATGAGAATGACTTATCAGAAAAGGGGAAAATCCTTCCATTGATTATAGATTACGGTGGAAACAGTGGGCTTTCTCAGAACAAAACTAACTGAATTGATTTGAATTTCAGTAGTGCCATTTCTTGGTTTATTAAAGATATTCTTTGGCTTTCAAAAGTATCATTTAACATGTAAGTGTGGGCTTGGCATGGTAACCTAATAGTTGAATCCTTACCTTGCATCCATCTGGATCCCATTTTGGAGTCGCTTCATGTCCTGGCTGCTCCACTTCCCATCCAGCTCCCTGCTTCTGGCCTGGGAAAACAGTGGAGGACGGCCCAAAGATGTGGGACTGTGCACCTACATGCGAGACCCAGAAAATGCTCCAGGCTCCTGATTTCAAATCAGCACAGCTCAGGCCATTGCTGCCAGTTGGAAAGTGAACCAGCAGGTAGATCTGTCTCTATGTCTCTCCTTCTCTCTGTAACTCTGCCTTTCAAATAAAAATAAAATAAATCTTTAAAAATAAAACCTAACAAACTGCAGGAGGGCTAAGGCTGAAATTAGACGCTAGAAACTGAGTCCATGTCTTCCAGGTGGGTGCTAAGGTTGTAATTGCTTGAGGCATCACCACTACTCCTGGGATATGCATTTGCAGGGATTGGGAGTGAGAAATAGGGGTCACATTTCTTGCCTAATTAGAAGTAAGCTTGGCTATGGAAGCATTCTTCCAGATGGGATGTTTACCTCAGAACTCAAAACTTTAATAATAATAGGTAGAAGGGATTACTTGTGGTAGTAAATGTCTACAGTAAGATCTGAAAGGGTTGTAAATTTTGAATTTTATGATCATGCTACAAAGCTCATTGAGAACTAGCAAGTTCTTAGAATATAACATGTAATATATGCACATTAGTATCAGCTGGGATACCAGCAAGAAGTAATGGCATGTTCAAAAATGTCATTCAGAATAATGTACTACAGACACCCAAGGCAGACTTAAAGAGAACCAATAAATGACAATGAAGCACCCAGAAACCAAGTGTATGAAATGTTCTACTCATGGCCCTCAAGAAGCTAAGTGGTAGCCTGTATTGTTGGAACTCAGTGGGTTTAAGGCTGTGGTAGAGGGACAGGCTGGCAGCAACTGTGAATCTCTAGGTGAAAGAATAATACTATTGCCAAAAAAAGGCGCAGCAGGTCCTGCAGGGAAAATGGACATGACCTCGTCTCTCATTGCCCTTGCTCTTGGATGTCTCCCTCATGCTTGTTGCTGATCTAATCCAACCAGGAGCCAGAGCACGATGAAACTGAGCCAGAGTGGTTGAGAGAGCCAGCTAGAAGTGGAAGGTGAAGAACAGCCCTGGAATGGCAGTGGGAGATAGTTCAATGTGCTTTTACCTAACTATATAGGATAATAACCTCTCCTTACCCTGTGTGGAGCTGGAGAGAACCATCAGCCATTATTCCACTCCTCAAATCGTCTTTTCTTCTGTGATCTATAATTTTTATTTTTAGGTTTTTATTCATTTGTTGTTCGATATCATTTTGCATTAGAGTGTGATGCAGTTCTTGCAACAGGCTATTTATTTTATTATTTATTTAGTTTTATTTGAAAAGCAGAGTTACAGAGAGAGAGACAGAGAGAAAGATATTCCACCAGCTGGTTCACTCCCCAAATGGCCAAAATGGCCAGAGCTGAGCCAATCTGAAGCCAGGAGCCAGGAACTTCTTTCAGGTCTCCCATGTAGATTGAAGCGCCCTAAGGCTTTGGGCCATTCTCTGCTTTCTCAGGCCACAAACAGGGACCTGGATGGGAACTGGAGCATCTGGGACACGAACTGGTTCCCACAAGGGATGCCAGCATGCAGGTGGACTATAAGCTTTCCAGGCCACCACATAGCCCCTGTTTTAATTTTTTATGCCCTTCCTTCCTCCCTTCCTTCCTTCCTTTCTTCCTTCCTTCCTTCCTTCCTCCCTCCCTCCCTGCCTCCCTTCCTTCCTTCCTTCCTTCCTTTCTTCCTTCCTTCCTTCCTTCCTTTCTTCCTTCCTTCCTTCCTTCCTTCCTTCCTTCCTTCCTTCCTTCCTTCCTTCCTTCCTTCCTTCCTTCCTTCCTTCCTTCCCTTCTCTCTCTCTCTCTCTCTCTCTCTCTCTCTCTCTCTTTTTCCTAATTTTATTAGTGCCAGGTCTTCAGTAGCCCTGTCCTGCATCTCTTTACTTATCTCAGTGCTCCACCATTCCTGGAAATATGAGGACATTCATAATAGTGGGAAAAGTCATTTTCTGACTGGAATAAAACTTTACAATGTGAAATAATTATTTAAAGTATGTAACCAATTTAAACATGTAGTGTATTTTACTGTGCTTCCCTATTTATTTCTTTTATTCTGGCGCCTTTAAGTTGACTTGTTTTCCTTGTCTCCACCATCTACATGCAATGTCATGACTTAAATATTGGCATTTTGGTACCTAATGAATTGTGTGTGTGTTTGGTGGGGTGGTAAGAAGTGTTTAAGGTGGTCTTGTAGGTTAACAGGTGACTAAAAATCAGGGCAGATGTTACAGCACACGCACTTGTTCACTCTGTTCCTCAGAGCTGGCGGTTGCATGGTTTTTTCCAAGCTGTGTGAGCTAATTCTACTTCATTTTCCCCCCTGTTCCTCTTAGATTCGAAGCCAGAGCAAAGCCTCCGGGTCCGGGCTGTGTGAAGGGGATGAGGTGGTTTCTATCAATGGCAACCCTTGTGCGGACCTCACCTACCCAGAAGTCATCAAGCTCATGGAAAGTATAACAGACTCCCTCCAAATGCTCATCAAAAGGTACAGCAGATCCATAGGAAGATATATTTTCTAGTGACTGAATAGAAACCATGAAGATCTTTTTGTGCCTACTGCATGGTATTAGTCATTTAAGGAGAAGTTGAGGGTGCTTTGCAGAAAGTCAAGAGATTTGAACAGAAACACTATTGTGCATGAAAAATGAGTCATTTCATTCTGCTGAATTTTCTGGTTAATTGAGAATTAGCTTGAAAATTTTAGGTATTTAGAGTACTCAGCCCCCACAGAAGACTCAGTGTAGTGAGCCTTATATGGCTCAGAACTTGCAGTGGATCAAGGTCACTCCATTTGAGTTAAAACTAGCTGATATCTTGTGACTAGCAGAAATCTAGTGTTACTCTTAGAACTTCTCATCTAAGTATTTCCTTGTCAAACCTTATGTGTAAAGATATAGAATTCCAATTGTTTACAAAGCTGTTTACCTTTAAAAATGTTTATTTTAAAGTAATATATGAAAGACACAGAGAGAAATGGAGATGAGGTTGGCATTGTGGCAATGTCGGTATACCATATGGGTGCAAGTTCAAGTCTCAGCTGTTCCACTTCTGATCCAGCTGCTTGCAAATGTACCTGGGAAAGTGGTGGGAGATGGCCCAAGTGCTTGGACCCCTGTACCCACACGGGAGCCCTTGAGGAAGTGCTCAGCTCTGGCCATTGCAGCTATTTGGGGAGTGAACCAGCAGATAGATGATCTGTCTCTCTGTGTCTTCTTTTCTCTGTAACTCTGCCTTTCAAATAAAAATAAAATAGATCTTTCAAAAAGAAAACCTTTCCAGATGCCTACAAGAACTGCAGTAGGGCTGAGGCTGAAGTTGGAAGCTGGAAACTGAGTCCAGGTCTTCCATGTGGGTGCTAAGGATGTAATTACTCATGCCAACACCACTGCTCCTGGGGTATGCATTTTCATGGAGCAGGAGTGAGGAATTGAAGCTCCAAATTGAACCCAAGCATTTTGATGTGGTGTGTTAGCATTTTAACCACTAGCCCAACAGAGGAATGTTGCCAAGCACAGTCACAATGTTTCCTGATTAATGTGAACAAATATGAGGTATTTGAAGATTGCCATCTTTATAAACACTTACACATTTCCAAAACAGGGTAAAACATCTTCTCTAATTTATTTACTTATTATTCTTACTGAAATCATGAGGCTGTGTTCAGTCAATTGGGACTTCCCCAGCTGGTCCTTGTTTTGATTCTGACAGCTACCATAGGGAGAATCATTGATATTAAGCTGCAATTTCAGTATCTGTGTACTCTCAGAAATGGAGTAGCCACTGCCTCTCTGCTGCTTTTCATAATGGGAATTGTGCTTTTTGGTATTTTCTCTTGAATATTTTGACTTTTTACAACATCAATAGCTAATTGATAGGAGTCGTCCTAGAATCCCAAAGTAAAATGAATCCAGAGGCCACATCATTGTCATCATTGCTGTCACTGCCACCATGATCACCACTGTAGGTATCTGAACATTGTTTCCTGCAATTAACTATTTCTCCGGCCCCTGTCATAGCCAGCTATCTCTGGAGGGCAAATGTTTGACTTTTCTTGGACTAGTGCCCAGAGATAGCCGGGTCACATGATTAGTTTTCAGAGCTTTTTTCACATTGGATCTCTCTTATCTTAAATCTTAACAAAATAAAATAAAAATAAATAATCATTTAATTATGACACATTAATTGTGCAATTCAATATGTATATGGACAAGGGAACTATTCTGAACTTTAAAGCTTTAATCTCTCTGTGATGTTTTTATGATCTTATTGATGTATTTTATCTATGATAAATATTCATTTATTTCTGGTCTGCTTGGAATGAATCAAAACTACTCTCTTCTCAGCTTCTCAATTGATTGCTAACATAATTCAAAGTGATTTTATCTGCTTCTCTTCCCACATCTTCTTAAATTAAACCTCCCTGACCTTTTGGTATGCTCAAATTCAATGTTCTAGTATATACTCATTATTTCCTATGTCAGAATGATTTATTTTGCTATCATTACATTTTTAATACCATAATTTAATGTTTTTGTAAATACCATATTACCAGGAAGATTTTCAGTTTACTTGCATGAAGAAAGCTGCATAGTATTTGTTTCTGTTTCTGTTGTTAATGCAGCCAAAAGCAAAGTTAGAAGCAAATATTTGGAAACTTTGTCTTTTAATTTTCCTACTGCACCCGTTCTTTGGTGGAAGGAAGTAGGAGTGCACGATCTGCAATGGGTGACCTCCACATGAGTAAAGTGCATTTTGAGCAAGGAGAGAAGAGGCAGAGATAGCTACGGTTGCTTAAAAAAAAAAATCAAACAAAAACTCCTATGAAGTAAAAGTAAAATTCTGTTCTAAGAATGGTGCTTCCCTTGTGAAAACACAGAGTTCAGAGTTGTAAACGAGTTGTTGCGCTCCTAAACTGACGGGACTTCTCATTACAAACCCAAATGTGCAGAACCACCTGAGGATGACTAGTGTCAGAAAGCCAACAATCCTGGGGTCTTTCGCTGACAGATAATGGAAGAGCTTGGCTTCCGAGATTCTGAAAGGAAAATGCTGCAAGAGACAGGTTCTGCTGAAAGAAGGGGAGGCATCTCAGTTTATAAATACTCCATGACTTAATGATTCATTGCAGCATGGAAAGGATTTCTCTTTGCACAAGAATACCGGGCTGGGGTCTGTTATTACAAAATACAGGCTCACCAGAGCTTAAAAACACAGCTTCCATTTCAGTCCTTTCCAGAAAGCAGGACCTCTAGAGGGATTACTTAAATTCTGTGTAATTCAAGATTGAGCTGAAGCTGCTGGATGTGACTTGGTAATGTCCAAACATCAAAACATTTTGTTACATGGTAGCAAACATGATTCTTTGGAAAAATCCAATTTATTACAGATATCTCCATCATGTGGTTACAACCTGTGCCCCTTCCAAATAGAAGCTGAACTTAGATTTCAAAGTCTTCTGTAAACATCTTGTGTTGTGACAAAGGCATATATGGAAGTACTTACAGTCATAACAAACATGCTGCCAATTTTACTTTTCAAACATGTGGCTGTTGACATTCAGGAGACAGTCTTTTGATGGGCTCACACACATATTAGACATAAGTGTCACAAAGTTCTTGGGCAGGTGCAAGATATTCTGGTTTAACTGCCTGAATGTCTTTTTTTTTTCTGTGTGCAGACCCTCCAGTGGAATAAGTGAGGCTTTGATCTCTGAAACTGAAAACAAAAACCATGAGCATCTCACCCAAGAAGAGTATGTGGAAAGCACCACCCTCCAGATTCGCTCAGCCACAAACACCCAGTACAGAGAGTTTTTAGTGGCCCCAACCCAGGATGGAGTTATCCCAGTTGAGGACCAAGGAAGTGGTCCTGGGTGTTCAGGGTACACGGAGAAGGAAGTCTGCCTCGGTCAGCGTGGGGTCCCCCAAGTCCTGGACTCCCAAGAAGTCTTGACAGAAGAAGTTATCCTAAGGGAGCCAGCTGAGGCTGGGCAGCCAGGCCCTGTAGTGGAGTTACAACTGTCGCTTTCACAGCCGAGACCAGAGGGTCCTGTGCTGGCTCTCTTGGAAGCTGACAAATCTCTGTCTCCTGACCCAGACCCGACTTTACAGCCGGAAAAGATTATCCACATCAATTCGGTCGCTCCTCAGGAGAAGCCAGACCCCTCTCTGAGGTCCAGCAAGATAATCCAGCTCTCCAGTGGCAGCGAGCTGAGAGTGACCCAAGGCGGTGGAGCAGATGAGGCAGAGCTGCCCCGAGTGGAAGTCATCCTCGATTGCTCTGACAGGCACAAGGCGGAAGGGCGCTGGCTTCAGCCAGGAAAGGGGTGTGTGGGCTCTCCCGTGGAAGGAGGGCAGTCTGAAGCACCTCCTTCTCTGGTATCCTTTGCCGTCTCATCAGAAGCCACAGAGCAGGGAGACGCTGCGCGCTCAGACAAGGATCAAAGCAGACCACACAAGCACAGAGCGCGACACGCACGTAAGTCCTGCACTCGGCTGTCAGCAAAGGGCTGGGGAGGGCTGGGCGCTTTCGCTGCTGCTTTGTCTGCATGGCAGTTACTTCTTCTAAGGCCTGTTTTTGTGTCTTCTGTTGGAGTTCTTTTTTTTTTTAAAAGCGTGCAATGAATGCACAAAATAACAAATGTGAAACTGTAAAATACTCTTCCCAGTTTTCTGATTGGGAAATGATACATTCAGACTTCATCATAAATGGAAAGGCTTTTCCCACGAGTTTCTATTTAACTTCAAAAGTTCAGGCACCATCTAAGAAAATTATACCATCAGGCTTTCCGTTTGATTTGTCTCCCAATGCTGTAACATTTCACGCCACAGCAGCATGAGAAAGGGTTGTGGAGTCTGAGTTTAAAGAGGTGTTTTGAAAACGCAGGCTCCACCGCTGATATTAAAAGCAGATCCTTCTTTTGAAAAACTCGGCCTGCAGCTTGATGATGCTTGCAGAAGTGTGTTTGATGGACAGGGCCATGTGTAAAATGAAGCAGCTATATGATCCTCTCTGTTCTGCCAGTCTTCACTAGACTGCGAGGGTTACATCCACCTTCTAGACATAGAAGTCAGCTTCCCAGACTCAGGCGGGGTGTTTCCGTGTCCCGGCACAGAAAATCTAGCTTTTACTCAGGGGAGTATGCACAGACAGGAGAAGGTGAATAATAGTTGCAGCAGCTGTGTGTTAGGATTTTTGTCATTTTTTTTTTCAGGTATATTATGCACTTATGCATTTACATATATATTTATATATATAAATTTTGGAATTTCACTTGAGGTTGTAAAGGTTGTCTGGCAAAGACCGTTGAATGTATGAATGATTTGCAAGAGAAGGGAACTCAGTCATTCACTTCAATTCAATATACCATGTCTTCTCTACTATTGTCATTCCTTTCAAAGCTTATTTTCAGCATAACCATGTGTAGCCTTATTGGAAAGTACTGTTAATTACCCTGTGTGTTTTAAGTGTCTATATGCCATCTTCACGTTTTTAGAATATTGAACAAGAGTATTAAGGCAGCATTCACATACTTCATGTGTTGGCACTGAAGTGAGCAGCAACTGTGGCTGTCAGTTTAATAATAAGTTGTATAACCGTAGTCATAAAAAAGTCACCCTTAGCCATGACTGCATTCTGAACTATTTTTCTCTATAAAATTTGATCACCGGTAAATAGCTACAATTTCATGACTAAATTAAGTTGCCTGATTTTTTTCATTAATTGTTAATTGTGATTTTTTTTCTTCAGTGGCCAAAATAGCTAGTATAATATATTTTAAATTTTTTTTCAGGATTTGCATTTAACTACTTTGAGGATTTAGAAACTTTGTGATTCATTGAAACCATGACTATGATTAACTGGTGCTATAAATTAGTCACCAACTTATTTTTAATATTGACAGCAAAAGAAAAAATTTAAATATATTTTTCTATACTAGTCTTTATGCACTCAAAAAATTCCCAAGTCACATAATGTAAGCATTTCCCCAAGATTCACACTTATTTTTGTTACAATTAAAGTAACATTATAGTTCCAAATAGCAATATACTTTACACATTTATGTGAACCACTTTGTACCTAAAGTTGATTACCTAGAATCATAGTAGCCCAGCTTTCTGAATTACAAGTAATTATTTATTTAGTAAATTATTAATTTGGTGTTTTGAATTGATATAGATTTTGTAACTGTAAATGGAAAGATTTGAGGTCGCTGTCAAAATTTAAGGAAAAAAAATTAAAAAAGAAATCCCAACTCATTACATTAAAACAGTTTGAAAGATTATCCTTATCAATTTGATCACTCCTCAGGAGAAGTATGAATTATGTTTTTCGGAGAATACCACATTATTAAATTATGACCTCTTAAAATTTTAATTTATATTACTAGTTGGCATTGCTAGCCAATTATATTGTTAGAGCATAAGGACCCATGGAGAAACATCTGTAATTAGCATAAACAAATATGCGTTTATATAGGCCAATGGAGGGGGATGCTGTATGTGTTAATACACATAATGATTTATAGAAAAATACACCTCTTTAAAGTTCAGTGCAGTTGTGGACATTCTTACCATGCCCTTTGTTTCCAGCGAACCCAGTGGCTGGGTATGTACGACTCATCAAGTGACTTCAGTTTTTGTCCTTTCCCTAGGGCTCAGGAGGAGCGAGAGCCTATCAGAAAAGCAGGTGAAAGAAGCCAAGTCTAAATGCAAAAGTATCGCCCTTCTCCTAACAGACGCCCCCAACCCCAACTCCAAGGGGGTGTTGATGTTTAAGAAGAGACGGCGGAGGGCCAGAAAGTACACGCTAGTCAGCTACGGTACTGGCGAGCTTGACCCAGAGGCAGACGAGGAGGAAGAGGGTGACAGAGAGGATACCTGCGAAGTTGCGTTTCTGGGCACCAGCGAATCGGAGGTGGATGAAGAGCTACTGTCTGACCTTGACGACAACACCCAAGTTGTGAACTTTGACTGGGATTCTGGACTGGTGGACTTTGAAAAGAAATTGAACCGAGACGACAAGATGGAGATGTTGCCGGACACCACGGGAAAGGGAGCGCTCATGTTTGCCAAGAGGAGGGAGAGGATGGATCAGATCACAGCCGAAAAAGAAGAGGAGAGGGTGGCGGGGGTGCCTGGTGTAGAACTAGAAGCTGCGCAGACAGATGGCTTGAGAACCGTGACTTCCTACCAAAGGAAGGAAGAAGAAACCGTGAGGGTGCAGAGCGCTGTGAGCAAGAGTTACATCCAGATGAGCCCTGGTCCCGGCCACGGGCCACAGCAGAACGGCCTCAGTGGGGCGATGGATCCGGCCGAGGTGCAGAGGGCAATGCCCATGAACAGAACAGCCAAGCCCTTCCCGGGATCGGTGAGCCAGCCAGTCACACCTTATTCGCCCACCCGAAACCTGACAAGTCCCATCTCTGACTTTCCAGCGCCTCCACCCTACTCAGCAGTCACACCTCCACCAGAAGGGTTCCCCAGAGGGGTATCCAGCCCTACGGCCGCCCCAGCCCAGCCCCCGCCGTGGCCACAGCCTGCCCCATGGTCCCAGGTGGCCTTTTATGATGCAACTGAGCGAATAGCCTCCCGGGATGAGAGGATCTCCGTGCCAGCCAAAAGAACTGGCATACTACAGGAGGCCAAGAGAAGAAGCACGACGAAACCCATGTTTACTTTTAAGGAGCCCAAAGTGAGCCCCAATCCAGAACTCTTGTCACTTCTTCAGAATTCGGAAGGCAAACGGGGCACTGGAGCTGGGGGTGATTCTGGACCTGAGGAAGATTATCTCAGCCTTGGGGCAGAAGCATGCAACTTCCTGCAGGGCTCCTCTGCCAAGCAAAAGACCCCACCTCCTGTGGCCCCAAAACCTGCAGTCAAGTCCTCTTCCTCCCAACCAGTCACCCCAGTGTCTCCTGTCTGGTCTCCAGGAGTGGCTCCCACCCAACCTCCTGCCTTCCCCACATCCAGTGCATCACAGGGCCCTGTGGTCTCCTCCATCAAAATAGCACAGCCCGCTTATCCTCCTGCTCGTCCAGCAAGTTCGCTGAATCTATCTGGTCCCTTCAGAGGACCTCAAGCCGCAGTAGCCAGTCAGCACTACACCCCGAAGCTAGCAGCTGCCACATCGGCTGTGAATGCCCATGCGGGTGCTGTGGGACCATCCAATGAGCTTCCAGGGATGAGTGGCAAAGGAGCCCAGCTCTTTGCCAAAAGGCAGTCAAGAATGGAGAAGTATGTGGTCGATTCAGACACGGTGCAAGCCCATGCTGCACGGGCTCAGTCTCCCACACCATCTCTTCCAGCCAGTTGGAAATACTCCTCCAATGTGCGGGCACCTCCTCCTCTGGCCTACAACCCTATCCACTCCCCCTCCTACCCACCGGCTGCTGTCAGATCTCAGCCATCAGCCCCACAGGCCTCCAAAGTGAGCAAGAAAAAGGGCAAGAAGCCCCTCAATGCCTTGGATGTCATGAAGCACCAGCCATATCAGCTCAATGCATCCTTGTTTACTTTCCAACCTCCAGATGCAAAGGGTGGTATCCCCCAAAAGTCATCAGCCAAGGTCAATTCGACTCCTACTATAAAGCAAGCGCTTCCCCCTCGACCAATGAGTGTTGGCTCAGCCACACATGGGCAGGCTTCCTCAGTGTACTCAGTGCCAGCCTACCCTTCTCAGCCTCCCTACTTTGCAGAGGCCTCGTCACCTATCAGCGCGTCCCCCGTGCCTGTGGCTGTTCCCACTTCGCCAAAGCAAGAAGCAGCCTCCTCGTCTTATTTTGTGGCACCGAGGCCAAAGTTCTCAGCCAAGAAAAGTGGTGTCCCAGTCCAGGTGTGGAAACCATCTGTTGTGGAAGAGTAATATCATAGCTGAAGCTGAGTGTCCACTTTGCTTGAAATGAATTGTTTGCAGTGTTACTTGAATTCCCGAGAATGCCTAGCAAATCCTCAACTTGCTTAATTTCAGTTATGTCACCTCCCAATCTGGGTCCAAGGAGTAGAATAGTTTCAAGGAGTCAAAATTCAACTCAGATTGACTTAACACACATTTATCTTTGCACATTTAACTAAGAAATATGGGAGCACCCAAAGTGGACATGTGACGGTTATGTTAAGTAAGCAGGGTGTAGTTCAAATTGACACGTTAGCCACAAGACAGCGATCAGTGTTACCAGACATTGGAGCAAGGCTTTTATGTAATAGGACTGCCATGTTCCTATGGTGGCAATGTTCCAACATAGTGATAACAGAACATGTACGGACTAAGATTCTCCTTTCCTATTGCTCATGTTAAGGGAGTAAGTGCATCTGTGGCAGACAGGGATTGGCTCTGGTCTGTCAAGTGCAGCCGCCTGTTCTATATCACAGAGGAAGACTTCTGAGGACTGGTGGGCTGCACATAGTTTAGTGGGAGGTGGGTAGCAAAGAAGGTCTTGGTCATCACCAAGCGCTTGTAATATTTATGTTCTTTGCCAGGCAATTTTGCACCTACTAGTTCATTGCAGAAGATATATTTGAAGTAAATGGGACAGGGCAAGAAGGATAATTGCCTTCAGAGATTGCTTCCCATCCTTTTTCCCTCAATAACTGAAGAAATTCAGCATGTCTCCAATTGCCCATGAAAGCATCAGTTTGTTTTCCATAGCTGAGGCAAGTGGTTAGAGCACGGGATAACACGTCACATGTCCAAAGAAGAAAGCACAAGGAGGTGTCCATGGCTGTCATTTTACCTTGGGCAAACACTTGATTGGGATCTGAAGGGTTCCTCGCTGCAGGGGCTGATGGTGAAGCATGGGGAGCATGTGCGCGCGGAGACTGTAGGGTGAGAGGGCACGGCCAAGAGTGCCGTGTTTGAGTGACCTCACAGATATTCCTCCTGTGTTCCTTTTGCTTTTTTTGGCAACTGCTTTTCCCACTGTCCCTTGCAATTCTATTCTCGCACCTTCACTTTATGATTGGATGGACCAGGATAATTCAGGCAAGGTTACCTTGTACATTTGGATTGGTCACACAGCGTGTCATCATCCAGCTGGCTGTGAAGTTAACAATGTTACTGAAAGCAAACCTGAAGGCCTTTCTCATATCTATTTTGAGCCTGAGTCTGACCAACCGTGGAAAATATTCAGCACGAATTGATGCAGAGAACTATAAAGCACATGTGACAGTTCCAAAGAAAATCCTCTACTCTAAGCAGGAGATGCAGTTACAGACTTTGCATAAAAATCTTGCCTGCTTTGAGGGTACATGCTTCCATTTAAGCCTCTGAGAATATCTGTATTCCTGTTCTCTATTTTCTGCTGACACTGTCAATCTGCTGTATTTTTCACCACCTTATTAAAATGTTACTTTCTTCTTTCTCTGTTCAATGTATGTGTTCAAAAAATGTTTTCCTTGCACAGCTGTTTTGACCTAAGTCACTTTTCTCATAACACCTGAATTTCCTTGTTCGAGTGTATCCATGTTTCTATGCATTATAAAACTGCAAGCTTTAGGTATTTCTAGAATATAACATACAAAGATTAGTGGAACTGGTTCTTGTTTCTTAGGAAAATGTTCCATTGTTTTTGGTGGTGGCAACTTACCCAGAGGTTGTAACCCCAGCCTGTATATTTGCCTTTTTTGGGAGAAATCTTTAGGAAGGTTAATAGAGGATAAAGGAAAAAGTGGTTATTTCATTATATATATAATGTAGTTATTTATATTACTTGTTCCCCTAAAAAGAAGACTGTTGAATGCTGAGGGTTTTCCTATTTTTTAAACTAAAAAATAAGTCTTTCTAAGGTGGAGCAGGTGTAATTTTTCATAATCTTGCGTTCTTAACATAACATTTAAAGACCAGCATATGCTAGAGGAAAGGCATGGAACACCCAGGTAGTCAGTTGTAAATCATCCATTGGAAATATGCTAGGATGGTAAGGACCTAGAAGTATTCCCAGTTGTTGAGTGGTTTGTGGTATGTAAAGTCCATTTCCTGTGGGACAGGTGGCAATCTTAGCAGAGTGCCTATTTGGAGGTGGTGATTAAGGACACAATTAACATGATGGTGTCTTCCAGCCATTCTGGGGCTGTTTGGGTATCCAAAAAGCTTCTAAAAAACAGGTCAGGCATGCAGGCAAAGTATCTACAACCCAACTGAGAAGAAGAGGTCTCATCTTGGACCTTTTAGTCCCTGTTTGTAGAAAGATGGAATTTCTCTTTAAAGGACACCACAACTCGAGAGAGCCTTGATTGATTTCACTCTGAGGCTTAAGGAGGTGGGAGGGAAAAGAGCTAAGCCAGTTCCTGGAGGAAGAGAGATTTCCTCTTTCCCTTCTATCTGCACCAGAGAACTCAGGTTGTGGCTATGGAAATGAGGTCATTGAGGCAGGTGGGAGGGTTAGAACCCAAGACCTCAGCCTCTCTCCAGGAATCACTTATAATAATCTGAGCATTGCTGGTTTTGTTGTAGTGATAGTTGATTGGCTGCTTGTGGGACTTGGACAGGCAGCTTTTGCTTTGTGTGTAATAACTTGGATCTTTTTGTTAGCATCATTTCTGGGTGAAGCACCTTGAAATCAATTTCCATCATAAGCACACAGCACCAGTCAGGTACTGGGTGCCCATGTTTTATCAGATGCTCAGTGGGCAGCGTCCTAAGGATGTTACTGCACAGCTGGTTTATCTAGGCACTGGGATATTGACTACAATGCAATCTTAGTCCCTGACTTTAGGCAATTTTCAGTCTCATGCATTTTCCTTTACTAATGACTCCAACCTGTCTTCCTGACTAGGATGGTGATCCACAGTGAGAATACAAATGTGAGATGCTATGAGGAAGGAAGGTGCTATGTGAAGTTAACACATTTCCCTGTTGTTACAGGAGGACACATTGAATCACAGGACTGGGGAGGTTGCCACTGAAATCTTGAAATATTTACAGTTTTACAGTTAATATTTCCACGATAGACACATTCTATCCTGAGAGAGGATCAAACACATTGTTTCTGGATACAGACAATTAGTAGATAGTGGATAGCGTATACTTTTAAGCATATATGTTATAAGACTCGTGAGTTGTTCCTCCGACACTGTGGAACTTTACACTCCAAAATGTATCTTGTGTGAGTTAATGATAGCATGTTCCGTGCCTTTGCATTAACCATTTCATTTAATCTTCACAAAAAGCAACTTGTGTTAGCCATAGGAAAGCCAACCTGAGATACAAGCGGAGGCCACTGTCACTATTCTGGGGTGTTGATTCTTTTCAAGAAGGCGTTGTGGGACACCTGCTGTCTCACACAGCCTGACTTCTAGCCTGGTGCCAAGGATCTCCATTTAATGATCTGTGTTAAAGGGATGAAGTGAAGTAAGGGTGAGTTTCCTAACCGTGGTTACGGGTTTAATAACTTCAAAGTGCCTTCTTACTGCTGATGGACAATGCCGAGCACTTTTACAGTAAAGCCATTGGGAACAGAAAACACCTGGCTATTAAGTGTCTCAGTTTGGATTTAATCTTCCAAATAAAACTTGCACTGCTGTGTATTGTTTTATCACTTATAACACAGAGACCCTGCGAGCCCCTGTATTATAACAGTGAGTTCCTAAGGTTGGTGGTGCTGTTTTATGAGTCACCACCAGCCTGGCAGGAAGGGTATTGGAAGTCATGGTCATCTAAAAGAAGTGTTTTCACAACAGCCAAATGCTTCAAATGCTTCCCGGGGGAAGCATAGGGTGTGTTCCCATTCTTGACCAAAGTCAGGGTTATTGAATTTGTTTTTAGACTTCTCTGATAAGTTCATGAGAAAAGGCTATAAATTCTTAGAACCCACATTATATTCCCAGATGCACTGACCCTCTCTGGTCTATGTCCCTGATCTCATTTGACTCTGGGGAACTCACAGACCCATGCAACACTTTGGTGCTTCTGAGTTTGTCAACAAGAGTTCTGGGAAAAACAGAGCTCACTTTTAAACTTTAGACTTCCCACCAGAGTTGGCCCTGAGCCACAGGCAAATGAATACATTCCCACAGGACGCAAACACCAGGCAGAATTGGTGGAAGAGGCCAGCCTCTTGTTTATCCTGCTATGATTCTAAAACATGCAGGCAAAAATGATAACTTAGTTATCTGTGAGCATCATGCCAGGAACATCTCACCTTCCCACACAGCAAGACTCTCCCCTCCTTGGTATTATCAGGTGATGACTCCATAACATTTTAGAAAAGTAGAATGTTTACATAGTGAGCACATGTGTACACTTACACTACCACTGGGCATTAGGAATCACAGACTACTTACTGGCAATGGATTTTTAAAAAGCTTCATCAAAAATATTGATTCTTGTCAAATATTTCCCCAATTCTTGATTATATCAACATTTTTTGCCAGCTAATAAAGTGTATCTAAAATGTAAAAAAGAGAAAGTGAGACATCTATAAGATTTTTAAAAAATATATTTATTTATATTCCTTGAAAGGCAGATTTTACAGAGAGGAGAGATGGAGAGAGAGAGGTCTTCCATCTGCTGGTTCTATCCTCATATGGACACAGTGGCTGGAGCTGGCCAATCCCAAACCAGGAGCCAGTAGCTTTCTTACAGGTTTCTCATGTAGGTGAAGGAATGCAAGGACTTGAACCATCCTCTGCTGCCTTTCCAGAATGGGAAATGGAGCAGCCAAGACTCTAACTAGCACCCACTAGCGATGCTAGTGCAACAGAGGACTAACCCATTTTGCAAAGTGTGCAGACCCCAATCCTGCGGGCTTTTTTTTTTTATACTTTTTCAAAATTTTTTCTTCTTATGTTGAAAGGCAGAGAGAAAAAGTGTGAAAATAGATAGAGCTTCTATCTGCT